GTTTTTTTTTTTTTTTTTTTTTTTTTTGCACCAGGGCTTGAACTCAGGACCTTGTGCTTTCCAGGCAGGCATGGTGCCACTGAGCTAAATCCCCAGCCCCTTAGCGTGGATCTTCTGAAACGTTGTGCTCATTGTTCCTTTCTCACCAGGTGGGGGCATCCTTGTCAAATGGGGCTTTACTGTAGGTTTCTTCTGTGTGTAAATGGAGAAACTGCAGAGGGGCTGGCCCTCTCTTCATTGTACGGACCCATGAGCGATGGGGAATGGACAAGCAGCTCGGCCTTCCTGGGCACCAGATCAAACCAGATCTGTCGGACAGCCAACTCTAAGGGCGTTTCAGTTTCTGAGATCCAGTCCTGGGAGACACAGCCTCTCTCTGGCGCCTTTCACATGGTAGGCACAGCATAGTTTCTGACACAGTGTTTCTCGAGGGTAGCAACTTTTGCCCTAGTCACATTTTATACTAAAGGAGCAAATTAGACAAATATTTGCACATTCACATGTGGAAACTAAAGCAAAGTTGACTTGGAAGTAAAATAGTGACTGACTGCTGGGGACCGGGAGTGCCGGGCAGAAGGGTGGCTGGGTTCGACCAATGCACACTGTATACATGTATGGAAACATCACACTGAGTTCCACGAATATGTACAACTCATATGCACTTTTTTTGTGGTACTGGGGATCAAACTCAGGACCTTGCACTTGCCAGGCAGGTGGTGCGGTGCCACTGAGCTACATCCCTGGCGCCATTCATTGTTTTTTAAAGCAAGGAGCAACAGCACCATTAGCCCTAACTGCTCTGTTGATGAAACTACAGTTTCTTCAATCATCTAAGGATTGACAGTTAACCCCTCGAATCCTTTGTGGTTTTTTTCTTTCCTTATTTCTTTTTAACCTTCTAACCTGTGGACATTTTATATCTAATCTCTGGACATTTCTTAGCTCCTTGACCTGAGGGCCAAATGACACAGAAAGTAGCAGATGGGGCTTGTCAATCAGAGATTGCCGGTCTGGGGAGGAACTGGGTTTCTATTTCCACTGAAGTGAATGGTCCCCAAAGTACTCAAACCGACTGGGACGGATGTTACCTTTTGTTTTGTTTTTTGGAGTACTCCATGTGTGCTGCCCAGGACCTGCCATGTGATTTGCAGAGCCCAGTGGAAAATGTCAGTGTATTTCAGGATGGTGAGAACGTTAGACCCAGCTTGGAGCCCACGCATCTGCCCAGGTCGCGTGTCCAGGAGGCCCCCGGTGCTGTCTCTGCCGCAGTTTTCCCGGACAGCAGTGCGACGCATCCATGCCAAAGTCACTGATCTGACCTTGGAGCAGTTTTCCAAGTCTGGCTAATATTCAGTCATGTAAGTTAACTTAGAACGAATGAAGTTACAAGGAGTCAACTGCAAGGAATGTGCCTGCCATAAAATGGTTAAGTTCATTTCTCTGACACAGGTATATTTTGAACACCTTTTATTTCAAGAAATATTGCTTCTAGACTTTCCTGAAGCCAGAATTGTTCTATAAAAGTATCACAGGGTATTATACAGGATTAAAAACACAGTATACTTCCTAATATCTTGAAATCTTTTTACAAAGAGCATCATTCATGACCATAAATATGTTTATTCTGTCATTCATCTGATGACACACACATCTGATAAATGCTAATTTTAACATATGTACAGAGTCTATGATAAAGACTTAAAGTTACCAAAGATACAACTATAACATATTAAATTTTCTTTAAAAGTTTATCTTAAACACTTAGTGAAAACATAACTTATCTAAATGTTTGAGTTTCTAAAAATAAAAAGAAAACCACTGAGACAAAATAATCTCGAGCAATTGAATAGGGTTCTGATGACTTTCAGTGAGGTATTCCTTTTGCTGGTATTTAAAAATCTAATACAAAACAAGAATATTGGCAAGAATACAGATTTTTCAACAGCAATTTTGTCTTTAAAAATTCTGAAGTTGGTGGTGAAGGACTTAAAATAGTCATTCAACAATGTCACAAAATTAATCTCCCTTATGATGCATTTAAATTATGGAATGAACGTTCATGATTTTAGTTAACTGAAAAAGTTCCTTATATAAATTTAAGACTACATATATTTTCTCAACACTTAAGCTTATTAATGAGGCCGAGAAAACAAAATAAAGATGAAAGCCAAGGTCTTTAGTCCCTTTTCTTCTGTCATGAAAATAATTAAAATTTCACAATCTTAAGTACAGGTGAACAACTCGAGGCTAGGCACAGAGAGAGCAGGCAATCTTAGTCTTCTTTGTTTATTTTTACCACCAGCATTGTTAGCCATGCCTTTCTGCTAATCAATCTTAGCAAGTCAAGGTAAAGCGCATGCACTGTGTTCTGGCAAAAGCTTATGTTAAACAGCATGTGATCTATACTGTGTGTCGTCCTCGGGAGTGTATTTTACTTTATCACACCGAGCGCAGCGTGACTGTGATAACCCTGTTAATAACAATAATATAATAATAATGCTAACCAAACAGACATGGCCTGCCAATCTCAAAAGTGCAAAATCACTGAACCAGAAATGATGACATTGAAAAATTCCAGTGGTTAAAAATGCATTAGAACTTCATTGCGCAGGCAGTGAAAGTGTACTGACAGATTCACCAAGGACGTCAAGTTTTAGAGACCACGAAAGGCACAATTCTAGCCATTTTGACTGGATAACATTTATATATGCATGCCCCTACAACCTCCATAAGATAATACTGTTTTAGCTCCCAAAACAAAACAAAACAAAAAAATAACCCAAACATTCTTTCTACTCCTGGCAGAGTGAATTACGATGAGATGCGGAGTTGCTGGATGCTCTCGCCCCTCTCCCCCACAGGCACACTAAAGTCTGCACGATCGGACTCAGGGTAACTTGGAATGTTGGCAGCCAGGATTGCTGTTACTTGTTTGCTAAGAAAAAGTTAAAAGGAAACCTCATGTTTAGGATAACGACTTCATCTCATCCAAGGAGAGCGGAGAGGAGGCCCTGCCCCAAGCCCTCCTTCGGGTCGCTCCTCACTGCGCTCAGCGGGCAGGAGCAGGCTGCTCTGGGCTGTGCACCCGGAGCACCTGATGAACGATGCTTCCATCAGAATGCACGGGGAGACACAGCTCATCTTCCAACACACGCTCTCCAGGGCCACCAGCGGGGCTGGGGGCTGCAGCCTGGGGCGGGGCTGGAGCGCCAGCTCTGTGAGGCCGCTGTCGCTGAAACTGTTTCAGCACGATCCACCTCCTCGTGCCCCATCTGTTTTTTAGGTCTGCCGTTTCTCCAGTGTTCAGAATTCGGATGATTCACCTCTGGAATGTCATTATTCCGTTCAAGTGTACTCTCTGGACTTAATGTCGGTCGGATCAAATGAAGGGTCCGAAGGTCAGCTGGCAAGGCCAAATGAAGAGCTTCCCGGCTGTCTGACTTGGGTCTCTGTCCGACTCTGCAGAAGGCATCGCCACTGGCGCTGGGTGCTCAGCAGAGACGACCGGGAGCCCATCACCGTGAGCAGTTTCAGTCGGACTTGCTGGCTTTTGCTCAGAGTGTTCAGCAGTGCAAATACTCTAGCTGTATCCTTCAAGTAATCAGTCGTTACCAGGCTAAGTCTACGGCTGTGCCTGATTTGTGAGCTACGTCCATTCACACTGTAACTCTGCCAGGCCGGCCAGGTGGCATCTGCAGTGGGTTGGACAGATTAACCTTCCCATCCATCCCATAGCTGCCCTCTGCGAGGAGAGAGGTGAGGGGCTCATTAGTGCAAACATGCTTCTTTACCTCACTGAATAAGCAACTCATGCTACTTTTTACAGAACAAATCCATTCAAGCTGTAACACTAAAAAGTATTTCCCCCAATAACCTGTTACCAAGGAGTGGCCTTAGAATAAAGGTGATTGAATGACAAAAAAAAAAAAATATTTCCCCCAATAACCTGTTACCAAGGAGTGGCCTTAGAATAAAGGTGATTGAATGAAAAAAAAAAAAAAAAAAGTCAAACAAGGGAAAACTTAGTGTAAGCACTCCTGGTGTTGGAAGTGGTACCGTCCCACCTCCCAAGGGACTTAGGTTTCAGTCCGTCACTCAGTAACCAGGAAAGTCTTGGTCCCTCATATGTCAAATACAGGAACAGTTAGTTGTGACAAAATCATTATTACTCATAGGGTTGCTGGGTGATTGATGGATTTCAAAGTGTTTTGGTGTACTCAGTAATGCTTAGTATATTGTCACTTTTATTACATGTTCTTGCACTCAGCATAAAAAAATATATTTGAATGCAAATACATGCCTGAAATGCTTAGATTTTTTTGTCCTAGAAGTTCTCCACTCTAGATAAATCCATGCCCGCAGTAAATTAACATTTGAGTAGTTTTCACGTGTGCAAAGAACATACAGTTTGGCTCCCTCAGATCTATGCCCATCCCAGGAGGACTACAGTTCTGAAGAAAACAACACCTTTTCTTGTGTGCCCAAGAACCTTTTAGGAAGAGGTGCATTAGATTGGTGTGATGAATTCCCCACAAAGCAATACAGAGCAGCAAGGAAAACTAGTAAAACTGTGCAAAACCCACACCTTTGTGTAATTAGAAGAGGGAATTCTACAAGTTTCAGATCACTTGTAAATGAAAGAAAAGTGAATACCAAGTCCCAGCAAGAGTGTATGTCACCCTTTGGACACAAGCCCCGGGAAGACAGTAAGAAAAAGAGAAAGGAGGAAGGACACAAAGACTGCTTTGAAGCCACTGCTGGCAAGAACGCGAGCTCCACGTATAAAATCCTGTCCAGGCTCCTGGTGCATCCTGGTACATCACGCAGGGACAGTGAGAAAGGGAAATATAGGGCGGAGGGGCAGGGGGCTGGCTTTGAAGGGCACTGCTTCAGGGGAAAAGGGCACAGAGAAGGGCAGCGGTGTCTTTGGGAAACTGGATGGTAAAAAGGAAGAAGAAAACAAAATGGGAGAAATTTCAGGGAGAGAGGAAGGGGAGGAGGAAGGGAGGTGGGGGTGCAGGCGGACTCATGACTTCACTATCACCCCAAACAATAAGAAAAAAAGGAAAGATAAACCATACTGTGTTATAGAAAAGAACCTCTTTAACCAGAGATCTTTTAAGTACTCCAATCCTTGAAATGAAAGCAACCTCAATCTACAGAAAATTAAGTACAAAAAAAAAAAAAAAAAAAAA